CTTTTTGAAATTCGAAAAATTTATTATGTATACAGTATTTCATTAAATCGGAAAACGCAGTTTCGCGTATCGATTTTCTCACAATTTCCCCCGTTTATATTATTCTACCGCTGCTAGGTTATTCTCCTTGCTGGACTAGCTTGATAAAAGGATACGTAGAGAATGTATATATATGTACCTGATAGGGTAATCCATAATCTCTCAATGAACATTACCGACCCCTAGAATTTAGCTATCTAAGCCAAGCGAATTGACTGGATATGAAACTATCGTCAGCTTAGAAATGCATGCCTTATAAAATGTACCCGTGTGACGAGCTGTCCGCTTTTTGTAATAATAGCGACTACAAGACTGATTTCAATAGTCATATGCAACCCTTTTACTTAAAAAAAAGTCTTACCTGCCTATTGTCCAAACCTTTTTCAAATGCCCACATATTCCATAGTTCCTATTAATGACGATTTGAATCAGTAGCTCTCAAAGTCTTTCATCTTTACATTCTATAAAATTAATGAAATTTTTACTTGTAAATATTGAAATTTATAAATTTAGAATTTGAAAAATAATAAAGTATATTGAAATTATAAATGAAATTATATTTAGAAATTATAAAATATTAGTTCAAATTTTTCATTCTTAATAAAAAATCTATATAAATTCCCAACAACTGATTGAGAACTACTGACGGAGGGGATCGTTCAGGAAGCGAAAACCAAATCGTGCGGCTTTAGACGCAATGGACGATGGCTGGTTTTACCCTGCACATTATTTCTCATTCGAATGAATTCTTGAATATCTTCGATTAAAGATATGTAGAATGATTAGAACTGCATCTACGTTATAAAATTATAGAAAACATTTGAATGAAAATGTGCAATAGAAATTAATTTCATAATTTTAATTCAAAACTGAAAAATGCAACTGATGAATATAATAAATGATTTCAAAATCAAATTAGTTTAAATAATATAGTTTTTAAAGAAATCATTAAAAAATAATTTTTTATGATCCTAAAATAATAATGTGTACTAATTAACAAATGTATAACGTATAGCTGTATTCATGAATTAGTTTATTGATTAATTAACGTAAAATTATGCCATTGCATATGATTAATTGTCACATTTCCATCACAATTATAACTTAAACGACCTCGAAATATTGTTTATTTGCATGGGATTGTAGAAACTTCGCGTAAACATAACAGTTGCACAAATTGCACGAACAAATATATTGTGCAACGTATGGTACAATCGTGTCCAAGCTCAAGTTGGGACTGTGACACAAGGTATCGAGAATTTCCGCCCTGCTGTATCGCTTTGTTTTGACTATAATTAATGCTTCTCAAAATGATTCAACAATCGATGATTACAAATAAATACAAACAAATCAATTTGACTTGGACTTTTACATGATATGTAAAAACGTGTTTGGTCCACTAGTACGACACGCGCATACACATTATCATCGAGAGTAAAAGATATAAATAAATATAAATATTTTTTACGCATTGTTATCTCAAACACGAGTGAAAATAAATATAGAAGCAATAAATATGGAATAAGAAAAATGTTACGCTCAAATATGAAATTCGGCAATAGAAAATATTAACTATATAAATCTGATTTCAATCGATGTGTGATAAAAGACGTACATAGCCGTATATTTACGATATTTTACTATTATTTTTTAACTTTTTTTTTCTTGCGTGTAATAATTATATCGTGAATGTTGAGAATTCCAATTTTTTATATTACATTAAAATGAACAACATAATATATTCAGTTACATTAATATATTATTTATTCAATTATATTAATGTATATTACGTTAATATATTACATATATTACATAATACATTAGAGATATAAATACAGATATATATCATTCAAAATATAAAAACGAAGAATTTCTCTGATATTTTAATGGATTTAATATTCAAAATATAATTTTTTTATAGTCATATTTAATAAATACGTATAATGTACTTAATGTACGTATTACATAATTGTATTTCAATGTATATATTTTTACACTCAAAATGTCGTTCTTTTCTATTCATGTTTTATTTTATTTTATTTAATTTTAATTTTATTTAACATATTTAACCTAAATATTAATAGCAATGTTAATTCCAT